TCTCTCTCTCTCTCTCTCTCTCTCTCTCTCTCTCTCTCTCTCTCTCTTTCTCTCTCTCTCTCACATAGACTCAGACAAATGCTCTCACACACCTACTCACACTAGAGACGGAGGTTTAAGTGGGAGTTCTTGTTGCTCAGAGTCTAAAGGTTGAAGGGGTCACCGCATGCATTCATTGTTCTTACAATGTGGGCGTTGGGAAGCCCTTTGAGACTGTAACTGTGATTGAGAAGGCTGTACAAATAAACTTAACTTGCAAATATGTGTCCTTTGCTGCTGGTAAGTAAGGAAGGAGATGCCGAGGGCTGGCATGGAAGAGTTCGAGGTGTTTTGATGGAGTAAGGTGATGAGGGAGACTCAGCAGGCACGCCAGATGGATCGACTGTCATGTGTGTCATGTGCCTCCCTCTTAGCACTGTGACGTTAGAAAATCCTGGTAAGCACTTGTTAAAAAAAGGGGGAAAAAGCAGAAGAAAAGACAGCTTGATGGTATTCTCAAATTATCATTCTCTCTCACACTCAATGTCTCTCTGATTCCACAGTAAACCATCCAGCTTGGGGGGAATCTTTTAAAATTCTGTGGCCTCACTTTCATTGAAATTACTTGGATATTAAATGCCATTTACAACTTTGAGGATTCCTGGGGCTACTGAAAGGCTGAGTAGGTAGTACAGAGACTGTAGTGCATTTATTAATTAGAATTGTCAGCAATAGTAAAAACAGAATATATGAGAAAAAATGTCTAAATGTTCGGTAAAATTTGGACTTTTACTCTCTGGTGAGCCCTTTTGGTGTTTTGTAGTTATTCAGTGGTCCAACACAAATGCTGAAAGGTGGAAAAATAGTTTGACGTTTTGGGAAATATCAAACTATATATGCTTCCTTTCAGAGTCGAAAATAACGCTCTCATATTTGTATGGTAAAATGTAGCTAGCCAGCAGATTTTTATCCTAGCTTAGCATAAAAATTGGAAACAGCTAGCCTGGCTCTAACCAAAGGTAAAAAAATATCTGCAGAATAAAACGCGTTTGTCACCTTTAGAGAGAGCCAGGCTCGTCATTTCCCCCGACCGTCACTCTTCATGCCTAGTTAAGCTAACCGTCTGCTAGCTCTAGCTTCATATATGCTTTACAGATATATGAGTGAGGTATCAATCTTCTCACACAACTCCCTGCAAGAACGCAAACAAGCATAATTCAAACGTCAAACTATTCATTTAAAATTCTATGTGCGTGCTGTTTCATATGGTAGCACGCATTTGCATCCAGAGAGAGTTCAAACTCTGTGAGTTAACTGAATGATGTTGTAGAGGTCTGCTTTTTCTCTGGTTTTACACTGTGGACAAAAAACAGTCTCCAGCAATCCAAGCCCCCGAAAAGACACGAGAAGCAGCTGGAAGGAAGGAATGGAGGGAGGCTATTTAAAATTCATAGCCAGCTTTACTTTCATCCTATATTTACATACTAACGACGGCGCTGCAGCTACATTTAAGTGCTGCGGGGTCGTCTCAGCTGAGGGGTGTTGCAAGAAGTGCTGTAATTTTCATGGTGGAGCCACCACTCGACTTTACAGAAACAATGTAAACAATGATTCTAGCTCAAGAGATTATGGGGTGGTATTGAGATGTTTTTATACAATTATTTGACTTTTACTGCAATTATGTAGTCAAGATAGAAACATTCAGCTGAATATTGCTTCCATCTGATATCAAACTACTTGTCAAATGTATTACGCTGTGTGCCTCTCTTCTTGTTATCAAAGGCAAATGGATCACAAGTTAATTAAAAAAAAAAAAGATTCTCCATTTAAAATCCATCATTTTTGAGAAAATATAAAATGAAATGAAATGCAAATGGGGAAAAAAAATCTTGCAAGGTTATCCGACAATGAACTAGACCATATTCATCTTTGCATTGATATACTGATGGAATATCTTTTCAAGTACAGATGAAAGAAGAATGATATGTTGTAAAGGCAGCAGCATCACAAGTTGCAGTGGATGTCACTCATTTTCCCATACTTTGAATTGTACTGCCATGTGCGCTGATGCTCTTACTGCACCCATTACTTTAAGTCTTGTGTTGAAGGTGATGTAAATGCCACCAAGTCATTTTTTTTCCTGCTTTGTTATAACAAATGTCTTAAATCACTTCTTTTGTGTTCGGTTTGTGCTTCTGCTTGCATCAAGGTGGATGTATAACCCCAAGACGTCCGATAAGACATGGATCCAATTAAACCACACAGACACAGAATATCAGGGTAGAAACCCCTAGAGAGGCCGTATCCCACCATCTAGATCGAGAGACCATGGCTCAGACTGCAAATGTAGAATTTAATCAGCTGAACGCGTCGTCAAGGAGTCCCGGAGTGTCTTCTCCCCCTGATTCACTGGGATTAAATGGAAAAGTGAAGAAAATCTGTGCTGCCAACACTCCCTCACTGTAGGGACACAATAACCAATTTATTGAATAACATAAAACGTGTATGTCAATGAAAAGGGAAAGAAAAGTTGTTTTCCTGGATTGCTTTCTGATATGAATTGTGAAAGTTGGTTTAGCAGAGCGCAGGGGAGAAATGAGAAGAATGTGGGGGTTTGATATGAATGTAAAACCACTGGAAAACAGAACGCCTTTTTGGGTAACAGAAATTAGGAGAGACATAAAGAGAGCAAGTGGTAATATATCAAAGAGGGAAAGGGGGCTGATGGAGAGAAAGAGACTCTCTTTATCTGCCTTCCTAATCCGAGCACATTTTTCAGCTTCATAATGAGCTGGACTATGTGCTTGGCCTTGGAATTAGCCTATTATGTGATGTCATCTTGACTCGGATGATCCGCTCCTCCTTAGAAAACAATTTAAAATTAGCACGTACTTGCACAAAGATGGTGAATATACCCTAAGAGACACACACACAGAAACTACCTCAGGCTCAGCAGGAGGACAGCTTAAGCAACACCTATGAAGCCTGTAATGAATACAAAAATCCTCCCCAGGAGGCTCTTCATACTAAATCACTATTCCAGAGCTTAAAGCCTGATTTGTACTCCTGCGGCTGTGCACCCATGCGGTCTGTGCGGCCTGGTGCAGGTGCCACTCACGCACACTGTGGTGGATTGTGCGTAGCATGTAATTCGTTTTTTGATTGGGATCCACGGTTTTCAAAATCTTTGTCAGGTGGTCTTTGATTCATTTCATAGGCGTGATTCAATAGTTCCATACATCGTCTCAACAAAACTCCATGGCTGCAAAAGTAATTATGGAAGAGTTGCATGATGAGGAGACGTTCCTGTGCCCAGAATAAATGAGGTGGTTGTTGTTGTAAAAAGGATGTGAGGTTGTCCGGAAAACCCATCTTCAAACTATGTCTGGCGCGTTGTCACATTTTTCAGGAAGTCTCTGCAGCTCTCCGTGAGCTCCATAAACCATCTCTGCGGCTCTGCGGAAGCTCTGCACAAGCTTTTCCGCAGAAGGATTAATTAGGCATTACTCTACAAGGTGTTCTTCAGTTACGAAAGATGACAATCTCAGAAAGAATACCTCAGTGAAAGAAATAGCACCCTTACAAACAACGGAGATGCAAATTATATTGCTGAAATTTAATGGTTTGAAAACTGTGGCCCTCTAGCCTGGACTGGAGTTTATTATTTGTCTATTATATATATATTTGCAGCAGCAGCAGCAGCAGCAGCTTCATTAGAGATATTGTCCCTCTGACCTTTCCCATCTTCTGATGGATTGTTTTTAATAATCTCTTTCTCTGGTAGAGTACTTGCCCCCGTTTGTGCCGCTCATGTAGACTGTAATCCCTTAATACTGTACTTTCAGGTGAAAGAAAAAAAGCCACCGTTTTCCTAAAAAAAAAGTCAATCCGTAGCAGGTCAGAATTCCAACCTGTTTCACAAGGTGCATTTGGGCACAGGTAGAGGTGTTAAGAAGGCTTGCAGTTCACATAGAGTTCAGTCATAGCAGTCAACCTCTATTTAATTGGACAGCATGTATACAAGCGTGTCTGGAGCCAGTCAGCTCATTTGAGTGGCAAATTGGTTTATTGGCTTGTTTGGTCTGTCAGCGAGGTCAGTCCAGAGCGTGTGATGCATCAGCCCCAGGGCGTCAAATACAGACACGTTGTTGCCTTTCTGGGGGAATGGGAGGCTATGTATGTCAGTTATCATGTGAGTATGCTTTAAATATTAAGATGAGCCGATGGGTGAGTGATCAGTGGTTTATGTGTTGCTTGACTATATTGTGACGCATATGGCTCAGCAGAGTGCCAGTAGGAAGTTAACTGAACTTTTAAAACATATTAGTTCTCAATATAACTTGTCATTGACATATTTCCAGTCTTATTGTTTATTATGTTAGTGTGATAACTTCATATAGTTGAGTTAGAATGTGATAAAGTTGTGGAATCTTACAAGTTAATGTTTCACGAACAAATAAAAGCTTTCTTTTAATAGTTTGGCTGTCCACTTTAATCTCTTTTGAGATCAATTATATCCGTATATCTGACACCCCGACAGTGGACAAAACATTATCGGACTTTCAGTGTAACTAATTGAATTAGTATTCTTATATTACAGATATTCATAGTGAAGTTTCTCTAAACTTCCACAGTTGTCTAGTAAAGTACAAGAAGCATCTGAAGCGTCTTTTAGTGTATTTAAACAGATACACCACAGTGATTGCAAACTCGACACACAGTTGTATTTATCAAGAGATTCAGAGATACCAATGTCTAAAATAATAGTTGCCAAGAGTCACTAAATTGCCTTCATGCTCAGACTGCCATTGTAAGCACGTTTGTGGTTGTTTCTCTGCTTTTGTGTATGGAGTAAACAAAGATCAGGACCAATTGTTTGAGTCACTTGAATATGTAAGAATAAACACATGAGAATGCTTGTGATGCAATTAATGTAAAGTGCTGTGATCCTGATTTAATTATTATACATTGTATCAAATGGTATGCAATGATGAAATGCATCATCCATGAAAAATCTGACAATGCCCATGTACCTAAAAAAATCTTAATTTTCCATTTAAATTCAGTTTTCTAAGCATAGTCAACAAAAAAATAGTTTGTTTCTGTATCTTACAAATTAAACTTGTGTTTCTGTTAATGAACCGCTCACTCAGATGTGCTTCCCTCTCTTTCCTTCCTGATCTCCTTATTTTTCTTTCACTAGTTCCTTTCGATGTATCATTCATTAGCTATTTCTTAATATCACACTCTCAGCAAATTGGCAGAAGCTATGAAATTGCACTGAAAATACTCTGATATTGAGTACTCTATGATTGAAGGAATACCAGCACCTTGGAATTGGTTTATCAAGACTGAGGTGACAACTGGCAGATGCAGCATATCCTGCTCTTCATAAAACAAAAAAGCTTCATCATCGGTTTCTAACATTTTTTTCAACATTGTCTTCGTTCAACATTTCAGGAAGGTGGGATGCTAACAAACTCAAGAGAGCTACTCCCTCATGGAATCTTTATTTTCAAAGAAATGCCCCAACAGCTGATCCCACTCATTAAGCCCCAGCTCTTCCTCCCTGTTGTATCTACCTGTAAACACCTTCGCACTTCCTGGAAACACCATCCTGACTCGACACACCTTTCACCTGGAGACCAGAGCTCGACAGCAAAAGGTGAGATAGACCATTTACGAATTCATGTTCAGCTTGGGCTGTGCATGCTGTATGCTTTAAGCTATTTTTCCCTTCACAGGGAGCACAAATATCCATCATTGTTTGTTGAATCCTCTGTCATCGCATTTGAATGGTTTTGGGCAAGTAGAGGCTGTAATGTGTACTACTCTTGTTTGCTGTGCTGGGACTGGAGGCCCTAACAGGAATATCTCAATTTGGCAGCCATTGATGGAACCAATATTGTGCCTGTTATTGTGTAACAAGGGCATCAGATATCCAGCAATATCAGCAACTACAGTGTAGACTTTCAGCTTTAATTCAATGTCGAAAACAAAAAAATCACAATGACTGTTTAGGAAATACAGAGACTTTTACACAGCCACCCACATTTTCAGAGGCTCAAAAGTAATTGGACAATTGTCTGACAAACGGTTTCATGGCCAGATGTGGCCTGTTCTGTCTCTATTTCATGACAAATGATGCAGACAATAGGATTCAAAATGTTATATTTGCAGTTGGTAGTTGGTCCTTGGAACTGTGAGCATGCGGACCAAAAAGGTGTCAATGCAAGTGAAGGAGGCCATTATTAGGTAATTGGTGTACCTTGGTGAAGAAAAACCCCTTCATAATATCTACTGAAGTCAAGAACACTCTGGCGGAGGTAGGCGTGTCATTGTTAAAGTCTACAATCAAGAGACGCCTTCATGAATCTAAATACAGAGGCTTTACAACAAGGTGCAAACCTCTGGTAACAGTGAAGAACAGGAAGGCCCGATTAGACTTTGCCAGAAAACATCTGAAAAAGCCTGAGCAGTTTGGGAAAAAGATTCTTTGGACAGATGAAACCAAGATTAACTTGTACCAGAATGATGGAAAGAGAAAAGTGTGGAGAAGGAAAGGGACGGCTCATGATCCGAAGCGTACCACATCATCTGTCTAACATGGTGGAGGCAGTGCTTTGGATGGGCATGTATGGCTGCCAATGGAACTGGGTCACTGGTGTTCATTGGTGATGTCACAGCTGATAGAAGCAGCAGGATGAATTCTGAGGTGTTTAGGACTAAACTATCTTCTCAGATTCAGACTAATGCTACAAAACTGATTGGACGGCGCCTCACAGTGCAGATGGATAATGACCCATAATGTGAAAACAACCCAAGAGCTTCTTATGGCAAAGAAATGGAATATTCTTCAATGGCCAAGTCAGTCACCTGATCTCAACCCAAGCGAGCATGCGTTTCACTTTCTGAAGATAAAACTGAGGGCAGAAAGATCCACAAACAAGCAGCAGCTAAAGGAGGCTGCAGTAAAAGGTCTGGCAAAGCATCTCAGGGGAGTAAACTCACCGTTTCTGGTGATGTCTATGAGTGCCAGACTTCAGGCAATCATTGACTTCAAAGGATTTTCCTCCAAGTATTAAAAATAATGATTATATTCACAATTATGTTAGTTTGTCCAATTACTTTTGAGCCTCTGAAAATGGGGATGACTGTGTAGAAATAGCTGTAATTCCTAAACAGTTAATATGATTTTTTAGTTTTATCCATTGAATTAAAGCTGAAAGTTTACACTTCCACCACATATTGACTGCTTCCTTTCAAATCCATTGGGGTTGTGTAAAGAGGCAAAATTAGAAAGAATTGTGTCACAGTCCAAATACTTATGGCCCTGACCGTATGTAGATTCCTTTAATTATTGCGGATTTAGATGAGTGGAGATCAAAAATGTGAAGGAATATTTTGACATGTTTAGGCCTTTGGATAAACAAACAAGATATAATATGTCAATTAGTAAGCTTGTTGCTGGTAAGTGGTCTGTTTCTACATTAGAACAGACCAAAGCTAGCTGTTTCTCCCTGTTTCCCATCTTTATGCTAAGCTAAGATGACCACCTGCTGGCTCTTCATATTTAATGTGTACTACTGGATATGTTGTATCTTATTTGCTTAATCTGTAAAAAGAGAAAAATGTAAAAAGGACAATTCATGGTTTTAGAGAACAGTGTCTGGGTTCAGCTGTTTGCATCACTTGCTTCCAGTCTGTATGCTAAGCTAAGCTAATTACCCCCTTGCTCCAGCTCCATGCTTTACTCGACCTTCTCACTTAACATTTAAAGGTCTCATATTCCTATAAATGCTTCAATGCACATTTAGTATACAGCAAATTCCATGGCATTTGTTTTGTTACGGGTATGATTATTTTCTGAGAGACATACCTCACACTTTTAAGGGGTGTTGGTTTGTCATTCTCACCAGCAAAGATTTGTACAACAGTCAACACATTCGTAGAAATGCTATTGATTAAAATTTTTGTTTTTATCCGGTGTTTAAAAAGGTTTCAAATGGCCTGTGGATGACCCGCGTGCAATCAGCTAGTTGGCTGCCTTGCTCTGCATCAGCAACACTGCCATCTGTGCAAAGCCCACAAACACCTGTGCTTCCTGGGTGTGTGCCACAGGGAGTCACTGAAGCAGAGGTGGAGGGCGGAACGCAGTGCTGCAAAAGACAGTTCATGCAAAGAGAAACTAATTTAAAAACCGATTATAACTGTTACTGTAAGATGGAGAAGTCACTGTAAATGCTTCAAGCTGAATTAAGAGCAGAGCTAAATGAGTACTCCGAAGATGACATTGATAGAAAGTAGGTAAAATATGGTTTAAGAAGCAGAAAAATAGATGGATGATGTGATGGAGAAATATAAGCTTTTCCCAAGTCGTTCAAATTCCTCCTCACTCCAACATTATTTCCCCTTGGATAAGAAGGTTAAGCAGGAAAAACATGATCATCATAGGGCAAACTGGTGTCACATTTTCATGCATTTTGTCAGTCTCATTCTTACAAATGTAGCTTGGGGAAAGAGGAGAGAGGTCACCTGTTCCTCTGACCTGATCCATGGAATTAATGGTTATCAACGTCAAAACGGTCAAATCTAATTCCCCTCGGGCTTGCAGCGAGTATTGGCTGAGTTTGCGTGTGTCTGCAGAATTTCTGACAAGACTGCCAGTCGCCCTCCAGAGGAAGCCCGCTCCACAGGCCTCTGCTCCGTTCTCCTATTCATTCGCCAGAATAATTCACACTCAGCTAAAAACAAAGCCGACCGGCAAACATTCTTTGGGGCTGAGGAAAGCGTGGAGATAGATGAAAGGATATCTGCAAGCTAAAGTGTTGCAGATGTGGCGTGTGTGCTGCAGCGGCACTGTGGTGGGGGGGGGGGGGCGTACATGCCTTGGTTTTCAAGCAGGGTTGAATCTTAAATGATTATTGACTAAGCCGTTTTTTGGAAAAGACAGAGTGGGGAAGGTGCCATGGGCCAGTTTTACAGAACCTGACCAGCCTAAAAATGAGCTCACAAAGACATCTTTAAACTTTCCTCAGCCCAGTAACCAGTTGTGGAACGTTTACAACTTCACAGTTCTTCTAATTAAATCATCAAAGGCCAATCAATCTGTCATCTTATATAAATAGATGTATTATGGCTTCGGAAACAAATTTCTCACTGTTTCTGGATAGCTATAAGGACAGAATCACTGTATACCCATTTGCAACCTGATGAGAAAAACAAAAGCGCCAAACTAACTGAGTCAAATTCTTGATGAGGCGTGTTTATATGTGTGTGTGTGTGTGTGTGTGTGTGTGTGTGGCATGACTCCTGCAGGATCAGCGATAATACTTTTATTGCAGACAAATACACAGAGATGAGTAGGCTAGTAATAAACTTTTGGCTCCACCACTAAGCCGACAGTCGATGACTGCGGACCCTCTCCTTGTATGAGTACCACTGCATTGTCTTTTACAATGACCTTGGCTCTTCACACAATCCCATGTCTGATTGCATTACACACACACTCACACACTGAGTGGCTTGTTAGCTTTTACAGCAATTACTGGGGCGCATGTGTCAGTGGCTGTTGGACACATTCATGTTGCATCAATAATCAGAGAAGTTCTGTCTTGTGTTTCTTCAAATGGGTCGCACTTTGATTTTCTTTAACTATAACTAAAAACATACAGTCAATACCATATACTATGGTAATATGCTCACAATGGCAATGCTAAAATGGTAATGTTCATTACATATATTGTTTACCGTGTTAACCATCGGAATTTTGTGTTGGCATACTAACATTGGCTACTTAGCGTTAAGAAAAAGCTATAGCTAAGGCCGATGTCATGAATGACAAACTCATTAAACTTTAGACCTTATGATGGTAAAGAGGTAAAGTAAGGCGTCACCAAAGTAACTACAACTCATGGGATTACAAATGCCTGTATCGAACGTCATGACAATCCATCCAATAGTTGTTGAGACATCTCACTTAACACCACACATGTGACCCTCATGGTGGCGCTATCGTGTCAGATGATCACCAAAGTCATTAGGATTCTCCTTTTGAAGGCCATGGATGCCATTGGATGAGTGAAAACTTACCTGATGGCGCTAGATAGAAAGACAGCACATCAATAAAAACATCCCATGTCGGTTCACAATTTTATGGCTATCCATCCAATAGTTGTTGAGATCTTTCAGTGTTGAGCAAAACAACGGACACTACCATCCCTATAGAGCCACACCAGTGCTGTTATCGTGGTTGGGAAAGAAGCAGTTTACTCAGACAAAGCTTGCAGGGAAGAAGCTGGAAAATAGTTTCCCTTCAAAAACGTGGAGTAAACTGTATTTCTGCGTTCTTGCATCACTAACTTGCAGAAAAAGGTTTCAAAATTTCAAAAACGTGGAATAAACAACAGGAAAGGTTAAGTCAACAATGTTAGCTCAGAAATCGGTATGCTGAAATTCTCAGAAATAGCTGTTTTTGCCTTTTTTTCAAATGAAATTGAGTAAATCATTGAAAAACCCTCAATAAATGAAGGCAATACAGCCCATGTGGTTGTGCAACATGAACCCAGATAAAGAATTAATGATCTGGAGTAAGATTAGCGCCATGTGGTCTTTTCTTCACATGCTGCAGGGTTATCATGGACAGCACTTGCATCCATAAGGAGCTGAGACTGTGTATGAAAGACAGACTGTGAGAGGTTATTTCTTCAGGACTTGTTTGCTGACATTTAGGGAAAGCCTGCACAGACAAACAAGTCCTTGCTGCAGCATTAATTCAGACATGAAGCGAGATGCAGTGAAACTAGTGAAGAACAGAAAAGACATCAGAGGAGTCCGTCCCTCTGTGCCCTGCATTTCAGGCCTCTCCAGCACATATTCATTATTCAGAGGGTGTTCCTCTTCATCTATACCACTGCTCTCGCCTTCTCAGTCATCCCCACCATAGATTTATAATTTATCACCCATGCCTATAAATCTTTGAGTGTTTGTAGAACACCCGTTGGGAAAGTATAATTCAATGATCGGTGCACCAAAAGCAAGCTTGGTCTATGAAAGTAAAATTACAGAAGATCCTGTGAAAAAGCCAGGGACAATTGATGATATTATGTAACAGATCTTCTAAAGTATTGTCTGGGTGTTGGGCAGATGCAGATGCAGAGGATTGATTATTTTGTTCCGCCCCCTTCTGTCTGTCCAAGCTCTAGTACCCGAGCATAGCTGCGACACAGTGATCTTCAGCAGATGAGTCGCCCCATATCGTAAGTTAAGTGGTTTAGTGTTGTGCTGGCAGTTCCTAACGTGATCAATAGGCCATGAATAGTAATAATGTGTTGCCTTATTAAAGCAAGACTAAAAAACTTCATTGCCGTTGTCTGCTGACTCAGGAGCCCAAATAACTTGGCCTGAACAACTGTTCACTTTAAAGATGCTTATCCCCATGGGGCTTTGACTTTGGGTGTGTCACATCGTTACTGCAATAACGATCTGACACATCAAAAGCCTTCGTACTGTGCCTCTTTAGTGAACTGTAAAGCTCATAAAAGAGGCAGTTCATAGGCTGAATTAATAGTTGGCTAACGTTTATTGGCAGGTTGGACCACTGAGAGGCAGTTAATGGTAATTTATGAAGCATTTGTCTGAGCTGTTTGTGGGATAATGAAGCCATCTCAAATCCAAGCATGCCTACTTACAACCATTTGAAAAGTGGTTGACAACATTTCCTTCCTGAATTAATATTTTGTGAGCTATATAGATAGATAGATAGATAGATAGATAGATAGATAGATAGATAGATCATAATGTAGGCTACATTGTTGTTTTGTTAGATGGCCAAATCTTTGATGCTCAATATCTCAGAACAGAAACTGTAATTGTAATTTCGTGACCATTACAGACTCATGTCTGGGTTTCATGTGTTGTCAAAACATTTTGCTCTTAGGACTCTGAGCACCTTGTTGGTTTTGTTTTGGTTTGTGACACATTCTGATCTTCAGAGGATTCATGCAAACCGTCTGTGAGACAGCAGGAGGGATGTGAACATGGGGAAGCTTATCACATATGAAAGGACTTGCTGGGCGCCCCACTGTGTTGACTTGCCCCATGCATGCAGAACATTAACTCGGTTGTCTGAGCCTGTAGATTGATCCCTGCATTACAGTGTTTATCATGTGCCAATTAATATTGTCTGACACAGTAGGACTTCATGGTGGACATGATCGGTGTATGGTTCCCAATTTTAAATCCACATGGCCCGCATGTTGCACTGCTGCACAATGATAGGAATTATTTGGAAAATTCCAAACGTAATCTTTGATTGTTCCTTATTTAGTCGTAAATATTTAACGTTATAGAGAATACAATACAATATTGTATTCTCTATTACAAAACCATACAATATTTGAATACACTTCAGGTCATATCTATTCTTTCTCTCTTGCTCTTGACTCACATGTTAATGGAACTTTGCCCTGCACGTGTTGTTTTTTCAGAGTCTCAACACACTGAGGAACGGAGATAATGGGTTACAAACGTCTTTCCAGGTTAGCCGCTCAAGTGCACATGTGTTACGCATAACTTCAGCCTTGGATTTTTCATAACAAGGCACCATCAATGCTTCACTCAACTTGCCTTTGTTTTAATCCTTTTTCTTGGTTACGCTGACACATGTATTTTCCATTGTTGACCCTTGCACCTGTCAGGTTATATAACAGCACTAAGCCTGGAGAGTTGGTTTGCAGCATGATGGCTTCACTTTGACCATGAGGGATGGTAGGAATGTTACTTTACATATAATAACACATGTGAAAAGTGTGAATGTATTGCATCTTTTGTTTTGATTCACCTTGGCTTGTATTGTGAGCTTTTGGGGTCATGTTCCAGATTTGAGTCCAGACCTTTCTATCCATGCACACATGAGGCGCGTAATCTCTATAATTAAAATGCTTGAAAATCCTCTGTAAACTGGTTCTTATGCAGACTACGAGGCTCCATTATTGTTATTATGTGTGTTATGTAAAAAAAAAAAAATGCTAAATCCTATCATGCATGGTATGTCTGCTAGGACTGACTGCTATCCTTAGAAATGGCAAACAGTTTACAATGTCACATTTTTACTTTTTATTTCCTTCTCTTGATAGAACACTATTGTGTAAATGTCCGTCAGGCTGTTCAATGATCTATTGTGCTTAAATAAAGACAATCTATAACAGTAAAGCGTTATATCCAATTTCTGAAAATGTTCGGAAATTCTGATATCTGAATAAGCTTACAGTCCAGACGATCATACATGGTGTGCATCAAAAAAGACACAGTAGCAGAAAAATGAACCCAAGCCTCTGTGTTTTGGTACTGTGGTCCCATATGTGCAGTCTGCTTTAGGGGGAGCTTAATAATAATATGTTTAATGATAAATGTATTGTTAAATACCTCACAATGAATGTATTTCTTATGAATGAAGTGGCGTCACCAGCATCATAAAACAGAAACAAACAGCAGCTCTATGCAGTGTTATGTTTATTGGCCTGCTTGGATGAGTTCCAATTGTGACTGAACTGTGAACCTGGAAATACATGTTACTGTAGACTTAGATCAACTTTTGTCACGTGAGGGGAAAAACGCAAGACAACAGTTGTAATAGAAAACCTCTGTACAAATAATAGATGGACTGATTATTTTTACTTGTTTCCAAATAGGCTACTGTCTTCAGTGAGTTGAGATGCTTTTTCCACTTTAAAATGATCAAAATGTTTGTCATTGAAACCCGTTACAATGTAAGATAAAAAATCCTCGCCATGTCTTGCACATGCCAGATGCCCGAATAGCAGACGACATCTAAAATCGTTAGAAATGTATTTATTCGTTTGCAAAATGTGGTGATTGCTGTACAAACACGGATGAAATAGCATTTACCCAATTAAAGTAATATTACGTGTACAAATGTACTCAGTTGGTCAGTACAAGAATCAACCGGAATAGAGACACTTTAACAGCAGAATAAAACATCACAAAGGCAACCAATTCAGAGACGTAAAGACAATGTCTGCAACAGCAACAGCCCACAAACACAAAAGAGGGAACCTACACAGTTTTTGCAAACAATGTAGCACACACACATACACACAAACAGGGTTGTTCATCGTATATATTGTTGTACTCACCTGTCTCAACGGCATTCTGCGAGTCTAGAGCAGTGCAGTGTCCTCCAGAATCTGCTTGAGGTTCAACTTCTCTGCTTGTTCATGCTCAAAGCATTGAATTAAAAAAATATATTTTTTTTTTAAAAAGCTGAAGCTGAATGCCTGTCTGTCACAGTTGTCAAAAACAGCATAAAAGTGTCACACACCTCCCTGATGGTAAAAGTTTGCCAATGAATGAAGAGGTTGCTGCTGGAGGATCCACAATGAGCGTTTTAGCATTCAGCACCTGGTCGGGCCCTCACATGGAGCTCTGTGGAGCTCATGCCCTCCTGCAACACTCTTGCAGCTTCTTCTCTGCTGCAGCTTCTGGTGCGTTTGTGGCTTTGGATCCTTTCTTTTATTCCTTTGTTGTTCATCAGCACTTTTTCATGCAACTTTTTATTTTGACTCTGTAACCGACGCGACTTGAAAAGTAGCAACATACAATACTTGAAATGAAAAAAATACTTACAACTTAAAATTAGTTTTTTATGAAAACAACTCTGTTACAGTAATGACAGTAATGTCATTTGTTACTTCCACCCCTGTGTACAAAATATGAAAAATGACACCAATGTATTTTTTGCTAGATAAATGAATGTGGCAGAAACCAGCACAGATGAACATGCACTCCCCAGCGAATGGGAGGGTAGCTGTGGCACCAGCAGCAGCCCCCGATGGTGGCTACGCCTGGTTCATTCTGCTCTCCTGCTTCCTGGTATTTGGCCTGACCTTTGGAGTCATTAAATCATTTGGTGTATTCTACGTCGAGATACACCAATACTTTGAAACCACAGCAACAGGAACAGCTTGGATTACCTCCATTGCCGTGGCTACCATTCACTTTGTGGGTAATTACCAGAATATAAGTACATATGCCTATTTATAAAATATTATAAATTGTATTGAAAAAAAAATACTTTACACTATAGGGCATCAATACATGTTTTATACCCCTCAATTTCAACAATATTATCAAGACTTCATATTCATGTCTTTTAAAATCCCTCCACTCTTTTTGACCTTGATGTCAAATCTTTTAGATGTCTCTGAACAAAATGAGTGTGTGGGTAAATTAAATTAGTATCTGCTGCAAATGTAGGCTCACTCAAGCAGCAAGAGACAATAGTGTTAAAACTCTAAATTATTATCTGTTGTTTAATTCAATGTCTATTTTCACTGAGAATATGAATCAAACTGAATTAGATAAGAGAACATCTTCTTTTATGCAACTTGAAAATAAATAGGACTTCTTACCTGCTATGAAGTACATACACATTCAGTGTACTGCAATTGTGTTGCCCCAAATAAAATAACTGTAAATGTCCTTAATACTATTATATATATATATATATATGTTCTGCGTGTCCCTCTGCAGCTCCTGTAGCATCTGCTCTGAGTGCTCGCTACAGCCATCGCTCTGTAGTGATAATGGGAGGACTGATATGCAGCGTAGGAGTCGTGTTTGGGGCTTTTGCTCGTAACCTGATTGAACTCTACCTAACAGTGGGGTTCCTTAATGGTGAGTGGTTTGAAGCAAACACACACGTACAACAAAAACTCAAAACCATACACACAAAACATGATATTCACTGGTATCCTTTGCTGCAGGTTTTGGCTATGCAATGACATGGACCCCCACAGTGACCATGCTGGGCTTGTACTTTGAGACGAGGCGTCCGATGGCAAACGCCGTGGCCAGCGCTGGAGAGTGCATCCTTACCTTTGTCCTCACACCTCTATTTCAGCTGTTGATTGACAGCTACTCCTGGAGGGGTGCTTTGCTAATCCTGGGGGGTCTGCAACTTAACCTCTGTGTGTGCGGGATGCTGTTGAGGCCACTAAAAGTCACCAGAGACGTGACTTGTGAGGTCAAAGCAGAGGAGGAAGGCTTGTCCCTGGAATTGCTACCAATGGACTACTCAGAGCAAGGCAAACCAAGCTGCCAAGATGCAGAGCTGAGCGTATCTGAGGGGTCTGATCAGGGTTTTAATTCAACCAAGAAAGTCTCAGACATCAGGACCAAGAAGGATGAACTGAGGACCAAAATCCTTAAATATGTAGATTATACCCTCATCACCAATGCTCGATTCATGGTCTACTCCATGTTTGGGGTGTTTGCTGCACTGGGTTTCTTTGCCCCAGCTCTGTTCCTGATTCCATATGCTCGTAGTAAGGGGATTGAGGAGTACCAGGCGGCTGCACTCATGTCCATCTCTGCAGCGTTGGACCTGTTTGGAAGGGTGTTTTTTGGCTGGGTGGCAAACCTCAGACTGGTGGATATGGTACATTCAGTTAGTTAACCAAAGCGACAACATTTTGAAAATCACATATCTGAAAAGATACTACAATCCTGTCCATACAGTGAATATCAGAATCAGAACCCTTTATTGCCAAGTTACACATACAAAGAATTTGACTTGGTGACTGGTGCATAACAATAAACAATAAACTCAGTGCAAGAATCAAGACATAATTTAACAATATAAAATTATTAAAATTCACAATAAAATAGAGTTAACAAACAAACAAATAACAGTACGTTAAAACAAGTATAATATAAAAGTGGCAAGTGTATTTTAATATAGAAAGGATGTGCAAGGGTGTGTAACGGTAGGAAATTGTCCTGGGGGTGTCAGAGTCAGTGGAGGTCTCGGACTTTGTTGATGAACCCAACTGCAGATGGGAAGAAACTGTTCTTGTGAGGTCTTGGTCCTGATGGACCGCAGCCTCCTGCCAGAGGGAAAGGACTCAAACTGTTTGTGTCCAGGTAAGAGGGGTCGGCTACAATCTTTCTTGCCCGCTTCAGGGTCCTGGAAGCGAACAAGTCTTGGAGGAACGGCAGATTGCAGCCAATCACTCTTTCAGCAGAACGAATGATACGCTGAGACGATGATGGAGGAGCAGAGGATGGACTCAATGATGGCAGTGTACAAGTGCACCATCATTGTCTTTGGCAGGTTGATCTTCATCAGCTGCCTCAGGAAGTACATCCTCTGCTGAGCCTTCTTGGTGATGGAGCTAATGTTATGGTCCCACTTGAGGTCCTGGGTTATGGTGGAGCCCAGGACGTGGAAGGACTCCACAGCGTTGATGGGGGAGTCACACAGGGTGATAGGGGCAGGTAGGGCTGCGTTCTTGTGGAAATCCACAAACATCTCCACTGTCTTTAGAGCGTTGAGCTCTAGGTTGTTCAGAATGCACCAGGTCACCAGATGGTTCCATCTCCCACCTGTAGGCGGACTCATTGCCACCAGAGATGAGTCCAATGAGGGTGGTGTCATCCGCGAACTTCAGGAGCTTGACGGACTGGTGACTGGAGGTGCAGCTGTTGGTGTACAGGGAGAAGAGGAGAGGGGAAAGAACGCAGCCTTGGGGGGACTGATGGTCTGAGAGACTGAGACATGTTTCACCAGCTTCACATGCATATGAATCTACCCTCATGCCAATTAGCTTAGCTTAGCATAAAGACTGGAAGCAGTATGAAAGGGCTAGCCTGGCTCTGAACAAAGGTAAAATATATTTTTAAAAATCCACCCTCCAGCTCATTTACTAACATGTTAAATATTGTTTGTTTAATCTGTACAAAAGTATAATAATGGCAATTCAACTTTTAGTAACTTCCTAAAGACAAGAAATTGTGCAGCACATATTCGGGGGCAAGATTTTTTACCATTGGAGCCTCAAGTCCTTATGCTAAGCTAAGCGAACCAGTTGCTGGTTGTAGCATCATAGTTAGCGTAACGACATGACAGTGGTATAACTCTTCTCATCTAACTCTCAGCAAGAAAGAGAATAAGCATATTTCCCAAAATATTGATCTATTCCTGTAAATAAGCAATGGTCTGGATGTGGAGGCCACTGTAAGTGCAACAGCTGATGCACATGTCTGTCTCCTGTGTCTCTACCAGGTGCAGCAGCTGACAGCTACAGTGATTCTGCTGGGAACCGTGTTACTCCTCTGCCCGCTGGCCTCCTCGTTCTCAGAGCTAGCTGTTTTCAGCGCAGCTTTTGGCCTGGTGTATGGTGCCACGGTAGCCATCCACATCACCGTGCTGGCTGAGGTTGTGGGCGTCAACAGGCTCGGAAGTGCGCTGGGTTTCTTCATGCTCATACGTGGTAGCGGAGGCCTGCTTGGACCGCCCATTGCTGGTGAGTGAGAAGGATGCTTTGATAGTTAATTGCAAGTACATGGAGCGCCCACTGTGCATATCAAAGAAATGGATTTCAGCTTTGAGTTGTTGCTGTAAAATTCCCTGTGATCTGTTCCATCATGATAACTTGCTGTCCGCTAGAAATAAACAAGAAGCTGCAAAGGGTAGAATAGAGAAGAATTGTAACTTCATTGACTGTAGCTTAACATTTCTGTTAGCGTAGGAAAAAGCTCAAATCATTAATACAAGGTCACGGTGTCTGTCATTTTCCCGAGCCTGTTCTTCCAACGCATTAAATCTGAAACAATGGATGTGCTTATACACCGTTCTGCATTGTAACCACAGCCCAGTAAGCCTATTCTACCAAAATGAGATTTTTAGACCTTCATGGCATGCAGCACCACCCTTCAATTAATCAGGAATTTTGTCATCCACTCCCAAAGGACCTGGGCTTTTATTCAGAGAGCAACTGTGCAAAAATTGTAATGTCATGATACTCTATGGTTGTGTTAATTTCATGGCCGATTGCTTGTCAACGATTTTTTTTTTGTCCCTCGAATAGAGTTTCTTTCCCACTGACTTTACATTGAGTTGCTTGTGACAGTTGTCCAGATTCATACGTTTTCTCTACACCTTTGTTATGCCATTTCTCTTTTACAGTTGTCCAGATTCATACGCTGTCTCCTACAGAACACGATACAACTGTAAAAGAGAAATGGCATAACAAAGGTGTAGAGAAAACTGCAACCTGTGACCAAAGCGATAACTGATGCATTGGCCACTTTGGGAAAAGCTGTAAACAAAACACTCATATATTTTTAAGTTGATATGGTGAACTTGCTAGCAAACAGTTAGCACAAACAGTTAGACACAAAGCAACATTGCATTCATTTTGAGTTGTGTCTCCGGCCACCAAATAAACGCAAGTCCAATATTCAGTGTGGTTTTATTTCTTTTTTGGTTTTCACCAACCCCTGAGGGAAATATATGGTTCTTTCGCTGCAAAATGCTCCACTATGTACATCAGCTAGTTGCAAACTTTTAGTGTCTGCGTTTTGGTGCTGAGCAGGTATAGTGTACAGTAGCTTTATCAAAGCTTTCTCACTGAAACAGTTGGCTGATGTGGCAGAAAACGACACTGATGAGAGTGGTGAAAGTGAACTATAAAACAGAAAAGTTGCGGGTCATAAAACCAAAACAATGAGCTGAAAGATGTGAAAACACTCATGAGAGCTGAGGGGGATCTGCAGAGCCAAGTGATAACTCTATTTGTTTACATTATAGTGATACAAAATAAAGAACTACTGCAGCTTTAAGTTATGGGACAATACATAAAACATCCAGCAGACAAATTCAATATTATGGGCATATTGCTGACAGGATATTTTGGATAAATCAGTGTTTAACTCTCTCTTATTTATTGTCTGCTTAGTTTTTATGTATGTGTGTATGTTTCTTCTTTTATGATTAGATACATTTTGTAAGAAAAATGAATCAATGATGGCGACTCTTCCCCTTATCTGTACACATAGGTGTCCATCATTTTTTTGTATCCCACCATTGTTCCAAAATACATTTGAATACATGTTAAAATAAACAGATAGGTTTAGCAGCGGCTGGAAAGCTTCTCAAAAGTGTCAGCCTCTTTCGCAATATGTTTGCACTTATCTTCATTAATCAATTTTATTGTGAGAGATAAAAAAATAATCTTAGGCAGCAATACATTGAAATGCCCCCCCTGCCTCTCTCTGCAAGCCAACATATACTGTAGCCCCGCCCACATCACCGTCCTACCAAACCCGATTACTGAGGTTATGACCCCACAACTTTAAACAATAGCAGTAAATACAGCACAGTCAGTAGAGAATCAGTTGCGGAAACCTCTTTAATATGAAAAAACACAGTCACACATTATTGTCGTTTGGATTCATTTGATGGTGTTCAGTGGATTTTCAAGAAGGTGCAGTGTAGCAAAAACAGGGAATACATGTGATGTGAATTATTAAAGAGCAACAGGCTGCTATGTTCCTCTGCAGGATTATAGGAAAACTTGGACTTTCCCTTTTGCTCAGTATTTTTTATTATCAATTAAATCCGTCGATGTATGGAGGAAATGCTTTTCATTACCCTGCTCAGTCCTTTCTCCATTTCCCTTCCACTTCACAAGTTCCTGAAGCCTTCTACTGTAATTTGGATTAAAGCAACACCACCACACGTAAATGTTAAATTTAAGTTAATGCTAAACGCTGAAGCTGACCTCAAATAAAGTAAAAAGCTAATTAAAATGAAGGTGGTGTCCTATTTATAACTTAACACGGCCCCTCTGACACAGGCTATTTCTTACTTATGTACTGTACTTTTCAGTACTTTGAGTACTTTGAAGACCAGAGAGTTGATGGATGTTGAGGATTCATCAAAGTGTTCTAATTATGTTCCCTTCATGGGAGGAAGGCGCTGCCTAGGATAAAATGAATATTCGCGCAATCTTCTCTGCCTCATCTCTGCCTCAGTCTTCTGCCTCATTTAGAAATATCTGTCATTAAAAGAAGCCAAAATGTTAATCATAATTGTTAATGTTGCTGTGCTTTGGCCCGCATGGGTGCATTCCAGTCAGCAAAGAATGTTAAGACTTAAATACGATGATTAGAAATATGACTGTGTCAAAGCTGTAAATCACTTACACGCATTCTTCACTTTAGGATTCTTCATTGACAAGATGAGTGATTACGGAACGGGTTTCTTAATGGCAGGAGTGGCTCTCATCGTCTCTGCTCTGTTCCTGCTCCTCCTCCATCAGATGAACCGCAGGGGTCAAGGGTCAACCACCAAAAACATCGATACGCATACTGACAAGATGGGATGAAGCGGCAGAGCTAAAGCAAAAGAACAGGACATGACATGACTGAAGGAAAAATTGTTTCAGTTGCTGATGTACGATGAGTTTTTAAAGAGATCTGGAGCTCCACGATCACAGTCAGAGGCTAAATCAAGTGAAGTCACACCTCAAGTGTTTCTACAAATGCAAGGGACTGTACCAAAATTGTTATATGTTTGCTATAAATTTGACAATTTATCATCTAAATCTTAATGTGTGTAATGGTTGTACACAATGTGGAAATTAAGTGCTTGTATGCGTTTCCTTTTTTTGTTATTTATTGTTAAAATAGTTTTACCCATTGTAGCATTTTAAGATATTGGTGAGAGAGTTTTGCAGTTTTTCTCTAAGTCAAGGGGCAAATAGTATTAATGCCGGGTTTTGCTTTTTTTAAATTAGCTTCAGCCTTCCTCCCTACCGCGATCATTTTTGTACAGTCCCTAAAGTGTTCATATTGAACCTTGAACTCGGGGTTGACCGTGGCTAAGTGGAGAGCAGGGCCGTCCTTCAATCAAAGGATCGGTGGTTTGATCCCCGACTCCACTAGCCACATGCCAATGTATCCTTGAGCAAGACACTTCACCCCAAATTGCTCCCGTAGCTGTGCCTACGGTGTATAGATAGATACTGAATTGTAAGTCACTTTGGATGAAAGCGTCTGCTACATGACTGTAATGTAATGTAATGAACTCACTCTCTGGAATGGACTAAACTGCAGTAACATAACAAACAGAAACTGTTTATGTCAGGAATGTGACAATAGAGTCTCCTGATTTTTTTAATTGATTTCGATCAAAATCACAAGTCCAGAAGTTGATTCAAAAAGCCTGTGTTACAGATACTGTCTTAAAGTCTGACTTTGTTATTGAACGTGTTTGTCTATTATTGCAGTAGTGTCACATAGATGCTGGGTTGCAGAGGGAAAATGTGACTGTGGCTCCCTCCAGTGAGAAGCTGCTGATATTGCATTTGCAACCTTCTCAACAATAGAACTGAGCTGAAAAGTGCAGATTTGTCCAGATATTATACCACAGGGAGGTTTGTGGAATTTACAGATGTAGACCAAACAACGTAATCATAGTAGATTGTATCGGTTTTCGTTTCAGTGCTTCAACTGAATGTAGAGTATTTTGCTGCTGTAAGTAACAATATATGAAGCATGCTCCCATTAACACAATTAGAAGTGTTAAATTGCATCACTGGAACAACACAATAAGGTCTAAATGGTTCTGTGAGTTTCTTTCCAACTTCAATACAGCCTGAAACCCGAGAGAAAAGCTTTTCTTCATGTACTTCCTCTGCTGCAGAATGTTTGGGTGCAACCAACAAGAAAACTAGCTTTCATAACCCCGAACCAACAAGAGGCACCCGATAAACATCTTCAACCTGGTATAATGCAAGCATAAATAAACATGTCACTCTGCATAAATCTGCAATAACAAACCCGAAAACCAAGGTTTACAAACAGTAGCCCACACTGGAATCCCCCCTCTACTAACAGACAGAAGCTACACACACACATGCACACACACAAGCATTGTCATACACACTCTACAGGAAAGAGACTGCAGAAAAGAAAACTTGCCACAACAAGAGAGTTGGTCAGAAAATACCACAAGCCTTTGATCTGCCAGACAGGAACAAAGACATAATCCATGTTTCATGGAAACTCTACATGAAAACCAAACACACACTCAAACACACAGACATGCACACACACTGTATGGCGTATGCCATGGTTGACTGCCAAGAGAGAGCAGAGGCCACCTATTATCAAGGAAAAGAAGACTCAAAATGAGGAGGATTTCCAATCCAGTGAACCTAAGAGCCTCTGTTACTTGAAACGTGAGGAAATTTGGTCTTTTAATTTTCCAATACCCAAATTTACACACTGTCTATACGGCACTTAAAAGGGAAAACATGTCTGACTGAGCAATAAACAAAACAGTGAATACACTTTTCTTTGATATATTAAGGTATTTTGATCTGTTGAGCTAATAAATGTCCTTGAATAGTGATGTCAAAACAACCCTGTTGATGTCACTGAGATGTCATAAGGATAACATCGGCTGCAGTTGAGTTGCATCATGTGACAAGATTCAGCATTTTTGGAGTGTGACCCACTAGAGACTAAAAGGCCGGATATCTCGGCCTCTGCCACTTTGATTTTTGACTTTTGACCATGTGCTTTTACTTCTAGCAACTAAGTGGGACAATTTCAGTTTTAACCTGGTCCACAACTCACTGTGTGTGTGTGTGTGTGTGTGTGTGTGTGTGTGTGTGTGTGTGTGTGCATATGTGTGTGTGTGTGTGTGTGTGTGTGTGTGTGTGTGTGTGTGTGTGAGTGTGTGTGTGTGTGTGCGTGTGTGTGTGTGTGTGAAGAAAGAGAAAGAGAGAAAGGGACTGTCTATATTTGACCCTTTCAACATCAACTCCAATAAAGCAGAAGACACATGAAGAGCCCCTCCCGGTCACTTTGACCCTGCAGTGGAACCCCTGGGCTCAAAGTCGCTATAGAAACAGCTGAAATCAGTTTTTTCTTCCTTTTTTTTTTTTTTTTTTTGCCGACCCTGCTCCCGGGGGTCATGTTGAGGAATGCAGCACGACTACCTGAGTTCAAAGCTCTCGGTAGCGGTATGAGAAAGAGTAGAGGTGAGAGAAGAAGTAGGAGGGAGAGGAAATGAGAGAAACCTAAATGGGGGACACAGGAGGGGAGAGAAGGGAAGATAACTGCACGTGAAAGAGGAGAAACCAGCTGGGAGAAAGTTGGGAGAGCCAAGCATGAAGAGAGAAACTTAAAACCAAGGAGGAGCACAAGAGGGGATACAAACAGGAGGCAAGCTACAGCTGAAAAAAAGGCGAGGGGAAATAAAAAGAGCCTAATGTGAAGAATGAAGAGACTGACAGAAAAGAAGCAATTACTGTATACTAGGAAACCCTCGCCACCAGCGGACTACCGTCAGACTTTCTGCTGGTTAGGACCATGAGAGGATGAAGGATAACGATACAGGAATGAAAAAGTCATGATGGGGAAGCAGTTGAGATCGGGCATGGCTTTAACCTCCTCACTGATTAGAAGAAAAGAGACATGCTGGTAATGAGAAATGGTTAGTGTAGCTACAGGGGCGACCAGACCCACACACCACCTCCACTGAAGGCTGAAATACATGTTGATACAGGTTACTGTATCACACATGGACAGTTGCATGTGTATATGGCCTGTTGCTGTTTGATGTGTTATTTTTGGGGAATTTTAAATGGCTCCCTGTCAAAGTTCAACTAGTTATTTTAGTTTGCAAGATTTGGGCGTTTTAGGCATTGGTTCTTCATATATTTTTATGATACAAGCTTAAAAAGAATTCAGAAAGAAAGGCAGAGAGATGCTACAGAACTCAGGCAGATGTTTGGTCTACATCAGGGGCGTCAAACACGCGAATCCGCCAGATAAAAAAAAATAAAAAATAAAAAAATAAAAAAATAAAAATTAAAAAAAATTAAAAAAATTAAAGTTAGATTTGATAATAAAAATATCCCCATAGTCGAAATTACGAGATAGAAAGTCATAATTATGAGATAGAAAGTCATAATTATGAGATACTTAAACAGTCATAGAAGCAGCTCTTTGGCTGGTTACTGTACACTTGAAATGGAAATGTATTGTGATTACATTGAAGACTACTTTAAACGTGGCTTTACAACAGATGAAATACTTCATGTGGGATTGTGCAAACGCACCCTTGAAAGGATTTTAAGCTTTGAACAAAGTTATTGTAATAATTTGTGTTTGATATTTGTCTTTGCTATTTTCTTTAAAAGTTTGACAGAGTAATGTGTGTTTATTAACCCTAAATTAAAAGGATTTAAGTTATAATAACAGAAATGTGCTTTAAATATATTTTTTAGTGCTGGGCAAGTTAACGCGTTATTATCGCGTTAACGCATTCATTAATTGACGCCGACAATTATTATATAGCTCGTTAAAGCATTTTTTTATTTTGAAAGTCAGTGGAGGAAGTCTTCAGCAGTCTACGTTGATGCAGCTTGTGGGAGAAGTTTAGATAAACAAAATCAAGACAAGCGCGTTACAACGTGCACCAGCTGTTGCTCTGCGGTAAAGTCAGCAGACACTTACATTTTAGTGCACCTATATGCTGAAATTCACGGTAAACTCATTCAAACGGCACAGGTCGGGAGCGAGCGAAGGACTTTGAAAGTTAGCGGAAGGATTAGCGTGAGACAACATCCGGTTTCTTCAGACGAACATCCGGTTTTCAGAATAAGATGCCAACAAAGTATGAATTATATTCACATTAAGTATAAAACATGCTACCTGCATCTTGTGAGTTAAAGGTAAAATATACATATGATATAAGAATGATATAATATAAGAAATATGATCGCTACTGTGTAAAGAGAATACTGCTGTTAAAAAGCACCTTATTTGTTTTAATAAGTGTTTGCAAACCAAATGTTATTGCCCTTTTGTTCATATAGCAGTACTTTTAAAATAAAAGTGCGCAATACACTACTTTTGAATTCATTATTGAACTTTGTCATAACAATGCGATTAATCACGATTAATCGCAAAAAATCCATGCAATTAATCGCGATTAAATATTTTAATCGTTGCCCAGCACTAATATTTTTACATTTATATAACTGCATGTACAATATTTTAACACTTGAATAAACAATAATCAAATGCAAAGACAGTTATTTACCAATATGTAAGGAGTAGTTACATTTACAACCGGCCCTTTGAGGGCGACCATGATGCTGATGTGGCCCAGAGTGAAAATGAGTTTGACACCCCTGGTCTACATGGTTTGTCCGTTGTCAATCATTCCTCCTCACACACCCCCTTTTTATCGACCCTTCTGCATTTCATATGTCCTCCAGCTTCATGTTTTCTTCCTTTTCCCCCTTGGTCTTCCTCACCGTCTCTTATTTTTCAATCAGCCATGCCAGCCCGCATCTTTAAACAGCTGTCCCACTTTAACTCACCAATGTCAATGTGTTGAATAATGGCATCATATAAAAGCACAGAAGCTGACATCACAAATATGTGTACAGTAGCAGATTACATAACCAGCGTAGAAATTTTTCCATTTCCGTGTTTAAGTATCTGGTTGATAATATTGTGGAGCGGATGGCGCCAGTGATACTCTCCCTGTCTCTTTATAGTCAAATAAATCCACAACCCAATCTTGTTCTTTGAGTGCATCCGTACTGTATGTGTGTTTCAAGTTTTAGCACATCGCTAAAACTCAAACTGAATAAATAATACAAACACACATCCCATCACAGACTAAAACAGCCATTAAGTCAGAGATTTATCTGCCCTCTACAGCTGCTCGAGGTTTATATTCTATCAGATATATTGAAACCAAACGCAGCTGATGCCCATTGAACTTTTTAAAAGTGAGACAATAAAACAGAGCAAAGTACATTTTTATTGATGTTGATATACAGCTCATCAAAGGGAGGACATTAGTTTTGAGTCAAAGTGCTGTAAAGACTTGGCCCAACAGTGCAGGATGAAATCACATTTGAATAAATATAGATGTAGTACGATGAAGTCAATTCTACAGGCATAATCTAGGATAGTATTCTGTGTATAGTAAGTATTTTAAATGTGTCATGCTGCATATGTGTTACGGACTGCACGTGCAAATTTCACCCCTTTCACAATCCAGCATTCTATTTCATAACAACCAATCACAGCTGACCCCTGACCCCTCAGGCAGGCCTCTGACACCAACTGACAGCCCCGATTTGGAATGAATGGCTTTGACAGGCTTCTGCCTCAGGCTTCAGCACAATGACACAAGAGCGGCCCACCAGAGTAGCGTGCTAATAGACATTAAAGTGCAATAAAATAATGAATGGCATTTTCACCTTGTTAGCTTGCATTGTTGCAATGCCATAACAACACCATTTCCAAGACAAATCTACAGAGGACCTACGTCAATGGGAGCTACTATGCTCACGGGTGAAACCAGAGCCAGCACAATGCTGAGCAGACTGTCTGACCATGCTGCAAAAAAATTTGAGTTTTTCCAAAGGGAATCTGGTGCTCGGATACACTACCACTTTTGTCCACAGGGACCGCCAAAATCAACACACAAATTAAAGTTCCTAGTAGTAAATTAAAATTCACAGCTAGAGAATCCTGTTGGCAAAATATTTCTGACAATCTAAATTAAGACATTTCAAGGATCTGTTGAAACCTTGTTTAAAGAGACGGGAGGAGTAGGATAGTATACCGAATGCATGCAAAGAAGCACAAATCAACTGACTGGAAATAAAAATGGCAGCTACAATGTTGTTACAGCATGTTTCACAACACAAACCCTACATAAAACACGACGGAAATTATGAAAAGGTAATTCAATGTTTGCGCTGCAATGTTGCTGCGATGTCAAGTGCATTTAAGTCGGCAAACTCGGGCTACAGTATGCTTGCCCGAGTATTCTTACTTGAATGGCCGTTCCATTGCACTTTTCTATGACGCAGGTAGTTTTTTTTCCAAGATTCGGGTAGATTGCAGCATAATTAGCAAATGTTAGCACGTTAACGGTACACTAAGATGGTGAACACGGTAAACATTAACTGGCAAACATCAGCTTGTTAGCATCATCAGTGTGAGCATGTTAGCATGCTGATGTTAGCATTTAGCTCAAAGCAAAGTACAACTAACGGTGCTGCCTGCAGGAATGCAGACTCTTGGTCTTGTTTGCTCCTACTTCACCCTTGAACAAAAAACTTCTCTTCTGACAAAATATTTATTAACAGGCAATAGTCAACATTTATGACAGGTGAAGATTCATATCCCTGTAAGTTAGTTTCCTTCACAAAATCCTAATTTCAGCCAGAAATATGGTGAGTAACAGAAGGAAGTATCAGTTAATCAATCACAGATGTATTCACCTATGATTGTAATACATGCATACATATTACACCTTGTAAATGTTTTGAGTACACAGGCAGTAACGGCATACTATCAACACATTTGCCAAAGTCTCTGTTAGTCCACAAAGTGCACACATTCCATCCAGATGCACAAGCTGGACCTCATTATGAAACAGATGATGCTATGCATATTCCCATTTGCCTTGTATAAAATTATACTTACCGTGCTCGTATAATCCTCACGTGCGGCTGAGGAGCTGCCCTGACCAGAACCATCCCAGACCTGTTTTGCCATGAATCAGACTAGATTCAGAGAGTAGAAGCATGTGCTGTGAAGCCCCTTGAGACTCACAAGCACTCCACCCTGCAGAAACAGCTACAATGTGCCTTTGCCTGTCAGATGAAAGGAATTTCTCTCTTTCGAGTGGAGAGTCTGTCTCTGAACCCGCTAACATTCGGCAGTCTTTATCCCTCCCTTCTCTCTCATTTCTGTCATATATTATTTTTAGAATTCACATTTTGCATCCATTCACAACTGTACAAATGTATACTGTGTCCAGACCGAATGCTGTGTGTGTGTGTGTGTGTGTGTGTGTGTGTGTGTGTGTGTGTGTGTGTGTATGCATGCGCTTGAAGTTGTTATATCCACAGGCTGGAATGTGTGAATGTTTGACCTCTTCTTCTGTTCATGAATGCAATTGTTTAGTTTATTAATATGTATGTATACATTCCAGATTTAGGAAGAAGGCAGGATATGAATATGAAGTATGTGAGAAAATGTCTGAGAATATCAGCACGCTGTCTACAAACTGTGCAGCTGCAGTTTTTCCCCATTAATTGTGGACGAATTGCAGACAGCTCAGGGTGCGGTCCAATTTTACGAAATCATGACAAGATAATACAACACAGAGCTCAATATTGGTTTTATTCTAGTGAATTTCATTCCAGTCCACCATACCAGGCCCATCTAAAATCCAACACACATTTTGCCTCTGTTGCAAACATGCTACAAGAAGTTTGACTTAATTTTCTACATTTGTTCTCTCGCGGTGAAGCGAATCAGAACACGACATTTTGAGCTAACTGGTTGAGCTAACGTTAGATTATAGCTAAACAGCTAAAGCTCATAAAATCTGCTACAGTCGTTTCAGCTAGCAAAACCGTCAGTCGGCAGCTAGCAAGGAGGAGCCTGCTATTGTCTACCTCGGTCAAAATTACTGAAAATTTTAAGTGGTAGACAGTTTTTAGACTAAACTACATTATTTTGCGTCAAAGAATTGAAGCTTGACTGGCACAACAGTGACTAAAGGTTGAGGGAGACATAGCAAACTTTTCCAAAGTATCTTAAATGCACACCTGCACCATAATGATCATAATGTGATGCTACCAAGTGGACAGGCTCAGCTGTCTGACTGTCTCACATAGTCTCTTCCACTATCTCTATATCTCCCCCTGTTCTGTTCTCTCATATTCTCCCACTCTAACTCTTTACTCTGTCTTTTGTGTAAGTGAAGCCGTGGGTCTCCCAGTGACATGAGCGCTGCTCCTGTAAAACTAATAATGACTGAGATTTGTGCAGGCTTAGCATTCTTTCACCCTTTCAGTGCAAGACACTGAGAATGGAGTGAGGGGAGGGGATGGGGAGAAAAGTCCAGGGGTAAGGGGGGGTAATGTCCTAGTTCGAGAGGGTGCAACTTGGGAAGTTGTGAAAAAAGAGGCCCCTTTCCCCGAAACACACCACATGCTTTCATTTTTTATGGTTCAATGCCACAGAAATCACACTTCGTCTGCTCCAAACATATTATACAGACACAGGAGTGTACACACATGGACACATACATACACACTGTTCAAGTATACCCTCCCACTCTGTCATAAATCCTGCATATCCTGTCCCTAAGAAAAATCAGGAATGTAAACGAATGTAAATGATGCTGGACAGTTAATAGTTAACATTACTGCTTCAACTCTAGGCCATCAGTCAACAAGTTTTTTTTTTGTTTTTTCGAACCTCACACTTAGAAACCATTCATTTCCCCTCCTACAATACCGCACGCGAGCAAAACACGAGAAAACAAAGCCACAGAATATAAAATATGCCCCACACACTGACACAACTCGCATAAAGATCACCAGATGTGCAGCGAGATGCAACTCGGGGCCAAGGGGGAGGTCTCACACGCACTGCCCTATCTGATGCTCTCCCCTCCCCTCCTTCACCCACCCTCCCCTCCTCTCCCCCAGAGACATGTGCGCACGCTGTGCCAGCAGACAGTTGCGGCTTCCAGCGACTGATGCACAGACAGCTGCTGTTTCTCCCTTCACCGGCTCCCCAAAACTATTCTCCTTCCTTCATTTCATCCCCACACTGCCTCCATTCATCCCCTCTCTACTTGCCCCTTCCTTCCCTCTGCTCTGTCATTCTGCTCTGCACTTTTTCTCCGGCGGATATAAAGGCAGGTCCATTTGGAGGGAGAGAGGGCTTGTGAAATCTCTGGCTGCACATGAGCACCGGAGAGTTATTGCTTCAGCCGGAAAGGCACCACGAGCGCGTAAAAGGACAAACTTTGGAATAAGGAGAGGAAGAAGGAATACCACTGAGACAGGGAGGGAGGGAGACGCAGAAAGAGTTTGGAGTTGGGGTGCAGGACACAGACCATGTCGGGCTCTGTGGTGCTGCTGCTGTCCCTGTTGGTCCTGTCCACAGGCAGTGATACCAGGAGAATCAGGAAAAGAGGACTCAACCATAAGGTTTGGGATGCTAACCTCACTTTTGACTTTTGCTTGTGTGTGTGTGTGTGTGTGTGTGTGTGTGTGTGTGAGTGTGTGGATTTATTCTCTATCTCCATCTGTTTTCAGAATATCCTCCAAAGTGGAAGTAGGTGAAAAGCTCACAGCTTGTAACAGTACAATACCAGCTCTGTTGCAGAAAGCTGGTTTTCACACAGTGAGAGCAGTTTTGTGGCTGAGGTGAGAGGTGGTCAAGTTGACCTTGTATGAGGTGCTTTAACCCAGGAGTGCAAAGGGCAGTGGTGTAAATTAAGTATATTTAACCAAGTTTAGGGAAATACTCTTTTTTTTCTTGGCAAGAGTTAGATGAGAAGATCAGTCACACCAATATAAGGCTACAGCTAACCAACAAGCTAAGCTTAGAAAGCTAAAAAGCTTGCAAAACAGCTAACTAAGCTCTATCACCTACCAGCACCTCTAAAGCTCACCAATTTACACATGATGTAACATTAGTAGGAAATATTATGTATAAAAACGACATGTCTGGCAAGGGGCTATGTGCGGGACTATTTCTTGGCAGTGACATCCAAAACATAAACACAACTTGTTATTTGTCACTTTGGTATTTGTGTGGATTAAACAAACAAGATAAAAACATACATTTAGTTCTTCCACTTTGGTGTTTGTATGGATTAAAAACAGGCTGGCTGTTTCCCTGTTTCCAGCCTCTATGCTAAGCTAACCAACTAAAGGCTGTGGCCTTATATTTGCCATGCAGATATGTATAATTAAGTGTGATTTTGAAGAATTTGCACTTTACTTAATTACATCCATGCTACTTTTTTACTGTTACTGAAGAAATATGAAAAACATGTTTTATTCCACTAAATGTATATGACAGCTATAAATATTACTTGGTTTAGATTTTCAGATTATGATGCATTGTTATAGACCTAACTACCCAAAAGTAGAAAGTAATCACAATTAGCTCCATTACAACAACATAAAAATGCTGATCCGGGTTAATGCATCCCTTATAATAATTTATCACTTTGAAACGGATATTCCGTTTTTTTTTTGCTTTTGCTACGTTTGATACAGTTTAATAGTAATGCTTCTGAACTTGTATGTACAATTTTAAATGCAGGACTTTTATTTTGCAATGGAGCCTAACTAAAAAGTGATATTGCTTCGACAAACACCTAACAGACACGCTTTGATTTTGAAGCATGAAAAATCAACATGGACGGGAGTGTTTTTCAGTTTTGATGAGGAGTGTGCAACAGGTTGGAATAAGTTGCTGATTTCCAAGTTTCCATATGAGTAATTGAGGGGCACACACGATGTACAACTTGTGTGTGTGTGTGTGTGTGTGTGTGTGTGTGTGTTTGGGGTGGATTATTAGGGCAGGAACTGAACTTGCAGACTGGGCCCCTGCTTGTTAACTCAACTCAGTGTGGCTGATTGATCATCTCTAACAAGGGCTCACTGTAGCGTGCTGCCTTCTCTTTCATTTCCGCTCTCGTGCTTCAATGTTCTCACTTTCTAGCTGGGTTGTGCCCTCATTGGCCCTTTTCTCTCTGTCATGCTCTGCCTTCGTCTCTCTTCCCTTCTGTCGTATGAATCAGTTAACCTTTCGACATCTCTCTGCCATGCTTTCTCCTTCCCCTCGCCCATGTGCCTCTCTCAGCACACCAACCCCCGTTTTCCCTCTTTTATTAAATCTCTTTCTCTCGTCTCCTCTCAGAATGGGCCAAAAGCACCGTCTTGCTCGACTCTGCTTCAAAGCTGCTGTAATTGGAACATGCTGAGACGGCTGTGCAGAAGCAGTTTGTCTCTTTCCCTCTGAACCTTTTAATCTCTGAATCTCTCAATCTTTCATTTTTTCAACCACCTCCCCCACACGCAAGCACACACACACACACAGCCTCTGCCTCATTCATAACACCGGGGCTGCGCGGAAAGTCAAATTATAGTCACTGGGAATTTCACGTAGGCACTGTGCTACAGAATAGTCAGTGAGTCTTGAAAGGAAAATTGGTAAAAATGTATAACAAACCCAAGGCCACCAGCATGCCGAGTGCCTTATTTATCTAATCTATGATCAAGTGAATGTCTTATTTTATGTATTATTTTCAAATAAGATGAGTAGACACATTACTTACTGTAGATTGGAAATGTATTAGCAAAATGTAAGCTGTCACTTTTTACTTGCATTATGAAATCTACAATTTCCAGTTCATAATAAATGTGTTTTCATTATGTTTTTCTTTGCCTCTCTATCTCACTGTCTGTGCAGGAATGACCTTAACTTCCGTTATCTGACTTAAAGCTCTTAACAGAGAGGTGTATGTTTGTCTTCTGGGTCAGATTGTCTTAGGGAGCAGAGTCACGTCCTCCATGCTCTCTTATCTAGACCTCCCACTGACAAAAGGGTCAAAGGTCACCACTAGCACTTTTCTAATTTCCTCTTTGTGTTTGGCTAATATAGCCTAATACAACGGGGGATGAAATAAGGGTGTCGAGGGAAGAAATAGGCAAGAGAGGGTAACTTACAATCAAGAGAAACACGTTTGATGTGTAGATGGGAAAACGGGTGGAATGGTGTGGGCAGCAGAAGTCGCACACACCCACACAGTCTCATACAGCCATAACACAGTCTGGCTCAGACACCTGCCTGGGCATGTCAGTGAGCAGGATCAGTGTCTGACACTACCGCCATGAATCTTTACTGTTTAGTTTTAATTTATTTGATGTGATGTGAACCATACTGACAGCACCTGGTATTTAGACAGGGCCCCTGCAGATGCTCAGAAACATGTGTAGCCTACTTCCTGTTTTTGGGCTGGCCGGCTGTTTGACTCGGCCGGGGGCAACTATGTAAAACAAAACCGATTCACACATTACTTCTTCACTGATTTGTAGCTTATAAGGAAGTGTCTACACTATGTAACAAAGCTGATGCTATCAAATATGAGTAAACACAGAGGTTCAGGTCATGAGCTGAGTTGAAGTGGATTTAAAGGGACATTTTGATTGCAATGGTTTAGATTCAGCATCTATCAAATTACTTAATTGCTTGCTGACATGCAGCACTGCCTGACTCCTGCTCTTTTAACTGTGTTGTTGTACAAACACATTCACTGCTAAATGCAAGGAATGTATTTTAATTCATCAGCAAATAGTTTGTGGCCTTTAAGGCTGAGAGTTGACAAGTCCTGGGAATGCATGACAAATGCAGTACAGCCTTGGCTAGTAATGGCTGTTTAAAGGTCACACCGGCATTTAAAAGGGCAAAATTCCATTGTACTGAAATTTTTAAAAAATAAAATATCTCTGATAGTAATGGATTTGCTTGCAGAGGCAGTGATTTCCTGAGAATCTTTCCGGAGAGTCCAAAATGGAGGAATGTAGCTTAGCTTATTAGCTGCGTTGCACCATTCACTTTTATTTAACCTGCTGTGTGAACTATACACAGGAAACAGACATGATTTGCTAACACAAGAAAGTAGTTGCTGGTACAAAAAAATCTTTAAAACCTGTGTGAACTTATTGTCCTGTTAGCGATTGAGCTAAGCTAGCAAGTTTGTTAACTTTTCCCTCTTTATTTTGTAAACAAATTTTGTGGCTCTTTGTAAAGAGGGGAGTTGTTGTAGTCAGTCAGTCATCCATTTTACCAGTAGTTGCGTGAACTGGTGTCTGCGGCTCTAAGCAGGACTAATCCCAGTCAGATGACGTGAGCCTGCCGGTCAGAAGTGTATGATTGGACTAACACTGTAGTAGATTGCCTCTCAGTACGCTATACACACAAACCAGACAATCACATCCACTGCTCCTTCACTCCTTTTTTTTTACCTGGAGCCTCTGATGTTCCAGACATTCCTTTTCTGTGGCAACCAATTCATAGCAAACCTGAGTCTTAGTATGTGAGACCACAGACATGTTTGTATCCATATCACTGCTTACCAGATATTTACAATATACAGCTGCACTACAGACAGAATAGTAACAGTGGAGTAATAGATGAGTTTAGGGCGACCTCTATCATTGCCGTCCCTGCTACCTTAGGCTATGACTGACAGGTAGCAGACGCTGTTTTCCCAACACTAATTAGCTGCATTCACAGTTGGTTTAGCTCCCCCCTGTCCGGTAAACCACGCCTCATATGGGTCCAGTCTGTTGGTCTGCATTTCAATGTTAAACATCACCACTCTCCCAGCATGTCCACAGTTCAAAGACAGTTTTGCTCAGCTGTTGATCTACCAGTTTGTCCATCAGTATGTCTCACTCTCATCTCCTCACAGTTTAGCCTGCTGCTTCTCTATCTATCTGTACGTCTTGTCTATCTTTCTGTCAAACTGACTGCTGGTATAGAAACAGGAAATGAGTCCTGACAACCCAAAAGCTAACCAGATGTGTGCTGTGGGCTACTTCATCTAGTAGACATGGGAGATGTAGCACATTTGAGTTGCCACTTATACAAAAGAACACAGTGTTTTCCTTGTTTATGCAAATATGTGCACAGCCTTGACCCCGCAGTACTGTAAGTGCAGAGATTGAGTGTGTTTCTGGGTATGCGTATGTGTCTCTGTGTGCATGAAGCATAGGAAACAGAAAATATCAGTATCTGTCTAAGATCTCTGCGTGGAAGCATGAACAGCCTGATCTCAGTACAATTACGGAGCCAGACTGGGTCTCCAGTGGCTTCTCCACACAAACTCCCCATAAACTGCAGTGCAAAAGCACTAAAAAGAGAGACAAGGAAAGTCAGAATGAACACGAGCAAGATGCAGAGAGATAGTGAGAGTTGACAGAAAGGGGGGAAACATGCCCACAGATAGACATGAATATCCCACAAGGGCCCGCTGCCAGTGTCTAAAGGAGAGCAGCACAACAGACAGGAGTGTAAATAACCATTGTGGAACATCAGAGAGATGTGCGCGGGATTGTGCGACATATCTCAGGATGTAGAGCATGGCGGCTCTTCTGGCATACCAAGACACAGCGTAGATGACACAAGAGGAGTCCTGAGGGTGAAGCAGTTACACTAAGAGCTGAATGACAGCAAAAGTACAGTAAAAAAGAAAAAGTTTGTTAGAAGTAGCATCCACAGTGTTGGCAAGCCTAAGGCTCAGGGATCAATGCAGTAAACACATATAAAAGAACAAGTGGCTTCTGCCGCGTACAGTATTCATGTGTACAAGCAAACTCACGCTTTACACACGCAGTCACATAAATAGGAAGGGCGCACTTGAACTTTTGTAGGACACGTTTGCAAGAGACTTTAGGAGCAGATCGGATATGAGACTAGGAGAGTAAGGGCAGTCATTATGTCATTATCCAATCACAGCAGACTCTGTAGTCTTCATTCATAGATTTAATTGTACCAAAAGACGTTATGAACCACTTCGGCTCAACTGAGAGCGATGAATGAAGAGTTTGAAAGGCCTGTAGTGTACAGTGTGTGGGAGCATGTTCAAGCAGAGGTAACTGAAAAAAATGCTCAAGTCATTGGGGCTGAGTATTGTTTGAAGGTTTTGAGACTGGTGTCAATATGATACCTGCATTTCGGTGCCAAGTAGGACATGGGGAAAAAAGTTTGAAACCGAGACTCTGCAATTATACGACATCCACTGTCCCCACTCGGCTATACCAAGGCGCTCTAGAATTTGATTCTTTTGGCCACTTGCGGCAGCGTAAAAGTTGTAACCACAACATTATCATGTCATCTTTTAAAGTTGATAGAGCCAAATGGTAAAGCAAAGTTTACTCGACTTTCACTGAAGCAGATCACAGCTAAGTACCATAGCTACTGTACACATACACACACACACACACACACACACACACCGTCCCTCTGATATGCCAGACATTCCTTTTATTTGGCAGCAGTGAGATTTTCCACATCATATCATCTCAAGCAACTGAGAGGAAATTCATAGCAACTCCAGTCTGAGTATGTGAAGAAGCCCAGGTATATTTGTTTTCTTCACTCTGCAAACAAAGTGCAGATATATATACCTTGGAAAGTTGAAGAAATCATTTGAAAGTACGAAATAGTTTAATTAGCCACACATGGAACAGTATTAGGGCTCACTTGGGGTTGTGTTTCTGGTCACCTGATAATTGGAAGTCCAATATTACCTCTCATTTTAGCTCTGTTTTGGTCTCCACCAACTCCTGAAAAACAATATCTGGCTGTTCAGCTGCTAAATGCTCCTCTATGTATACTAGCTAATTGCTAGCTTTGTCACAGTGGGTTTATCGGAAACAAAAACAGCTGCCTTCTGTGTCAGGAAACAATGCTGAAGACTGACTCAGAGCTACAAACACATTGCAGCCAGTCCCCAAAAAATATTGAACTTTGAAACCCAGCCCCTCAAGTGATGTACAATCAAAACTTGGACTGCTTACTGTAATATGCAGCACCACAGCGTAACTCTTACAGGCTCTGACTGTATTGTTCCCTCCGTCCCTCTATGGTGTGAATCCCTCATCCCACCCCTCAAAGAACCATCCACCAAGCTCTCAGCTGCCAGAACAAATTAATGTGGGTGTAAAGTGAACACACGTACAGTGTGTGTGATACCACCACCCACACCAAACATTTGCTTTCGTTTTTCCGGTTGGTTTGTAAGAGCGTTCAGTAAGCCTGCCAAATAAACAGCACAGTTTTAATGACCGTGTGCGACCCACAAGCTGATTATCTAATTACTAATCTGGTGCAGAGGAAAAACACCCATCTCTCTCTCTCTCGCTCTCTCTCTCTCTCTCTCTCTCTCTCTCTCTCTCTCTCTCTCTCTCTGGAAAGTCTAGGAAATTCACCAACACAACTGAAAAGACATATATATTTAGAAAAATGTAAACACTGGTTGTGCTTGTTTGACACAGCATGTGTTGTTATGACAAACAACTCTGCGGAAATTACATTTTAAATGTGATTACAGTCATGATGACAGTGTTACAAAGGATTGGACCAACAAGCAACATAACTTCCTGTGCCGTTGAAGGGCAAAGAGTTCAGAGGTAACCTTGGTTGCTATAAAAGTGATGTCAGATCAGCACAGTGTTTGTCATTGTTGTTTGTAGCACAAAAGAATGGAGTGGAATGAACTAGAAACTTGATCACACTGAAACGTATCATACAAAAGCAAATACAGTGTTTGAGAAAGTATGAGAGTTCATGTTTAGTCAAGGGCAGCTGTGCTTCTTGGGATTTTGTGTTAATATTCCCCATGTACATACATTTGAACAAAGAATAGCTGCTTATACTGTGAAACAAAACGTGTGACATTTGACACCAGCATTGTGAAAGCGTATTAACACACAATTTCTGTCCTGGATTCCAAACCAATGAACAGGAATCAATAAAGAGCAGCAGCTGAGGAAAAAAACAACTATTAAACCCCAGACACCATGGCTGTGATGTGATCTCATTAAGTTATCCTCTGCAAAGCATTTAAGAGGAGGTCTTCTCAGCAACACTGGAAACATGTGGGCCTGTGCTGAAGGTTGCCAAAGCCGTCAAAGTGTGTGAAGCGTGTCTTTGCTTGGCTCAGGGTCCAGTGGCCTACTTTCTCCTTTCAGAATCACTAGAAAAACGTTTGTTCCCACAGTGAATCACGTTCCCGATCCAGGTCAAGACTTGAGCAGGCAGGCAGGCATACTGAAGCCAAAACATCAGCGTCCTTGCTGGAGCTCTGCTGTGCTGAAAAGGGATCACTCAGATCCATTGCTGCCCTCTGGTGGCTAAAAGGTCTAATCCGTGCAATTTTACAACCACACTGTTAGCATCCAGTCCTGTCTTTTTTTTCAGTTTGGAACCACATGAGAGGTTTAATTTCCAAAAATCCTTCATGACACATTTAACAAGACACATTTAATGTTGTTTCCTTCCAAAATGACTCGTCAGGAAGTACAGGTCTAACTACAGAATTAGATTTTTAGCGAAGCTGGTATTAAACTAAATGCTGAAAAATGTTCTCTTATATCCAGTGAAATGTCTTAACTAACTAGAAGAGCCCTCATCTACATTATTTTTCTGTCTTCCAGGACTACGAGTACCCCAACCACCCCCAGTCCACACAGCACCAGAAGAACGACAGGTGTCCGCCGCCACCCCAGATGCTGCCAGAGAGAGCCTGTGAGGTGCCGGGCTGCCGCTCAGACTCAGAGTGTGAGCGCCATAAACGCTGCTGCTACAATGGATGCATCTACGCCTGCCTGGAGTCGGTCCAGCCTCCACCGGGTCAGCAGAACCAGCAGACAGTTGCACACAGTTGTGTTTGGGAAATTAGTCTGTTTTTGTGTCTCTCTTGAAAACATTTAACAAGTATGGCTGTGGATCTGTGTGTGTTCTGAACAGTGTTGGACTGGCTGGTGCAGCCAAAGCCTCGGTGGTTGGGGGGCAACGGCTGGCTGTTAGACGGCCCTGAGGAGGTTCTGCAGGGTGAGTACACACCAACACCTGAGTCACTGAGGTCGAAGGAAACACCTGTAGCTCCACATGGTCAGCTTGCATGACTTAGAAAAAAAAACTCACCTTACTGAAATTCTCAATGATCAGAGTGTACCTTAGCCTTCACAAATGCTAATGCTGCTTCAATGGATATAACAGGTTCTTGTAGGTTTTCTGAAGTTTACATGGTAGTTTGAGGGAGGACAAGTAAACAAAACAGAAGAACAACATACCAACACCATAACCACTGACGCTAGTATATTTCATGTTTTTGATTCTTTCTCATGCACAGTATGTTTTCTGCCCACTAGCTGAGGCCTGCAGCACAACTGAGGATGGAGACGAGCCTCTTCACTGTCCCACGGGCTACGAGTGCCACATCATCAATCCAGGAAACCCTTCCACTGGCATCCCAAACCGGGGACAGTGCATCAAGCAACGTGGCAACTCTGGTATGGCTAGAGTACTTCCGCTGACTTATAGCCAGGCCTTTGACACACATCATCTCCTATCTTAATTGTATCTTTAAAACAAATCTCTTGCTTGTCAGATTTAATGGAACTTCTCTGCAAAGTCTGTGCTCTTTTAAATCACCAAGGGACAGGGACAGGACTCTTTGAGTCTGGCCTGGTATCTCTTAGCACATCACATGCTGTTAGGTGCCAAGTTTCTCCCATTAAATAGATCTAACAATATACAAATTGGAGTGCTCTGTCAATAGACCAGATTGCCTCACCGATGTGTGGCTGAAGCGGTTGGCAGAAATATTAAACTAATGATCTAATCAAAAGAACATAACCTTTTTTACTTTATGCATCTCATAATTGCATTTCAAGCAAGTGCAATGTGTATGATATGGAGAGCAGATGTCAATCTTTCTTCTTTTCTTTTGTCTTTTTTGCAATTTTATTTACAGAAGGACGTCTGAGGCACAAATACTTCAAGGACAACAAGGACTACTTAGGTAAGTGAGGTAATGTGGACAACCTAAAAAACCTGCAACATTACTGAATCAGAAATCAGCGCTGATCTTCCTGACACGTTGATGGCTCTTTCACTGACAGGCACCAGTTCGAGCAATGCAGTGGGCTACGATAAACATCATCACAAGCACCTGGGATGAAGTATGTTTTCAGTCACGTTGAATTTTCATTTGCGTCTTTAGCTCCTTTTAGACAACGCCTAATGTTTTCTGTTCTGCTCTCAGATCAGCCTGACCTCAGCCTCACCTAAGACCATAACACAACCTCAGAACATCAGCCCAGTCCTGTTCGATCCGCTCTCATCGCAACTGAACCGGGATCCGATCTGACCTTTTTGCCAGACTTCCAGCTGCTACCTCCTCTTGCGAAGCCCCGTAGTCGCCGTGCCTCACAAGGTGTCTTTGTCTCTCTGTCTGTGGTCTGTGAGCAGATTAGGCAGAGAGTGTTAAACGGTGAAGCAGAGGTGTGCACCAAAGCTGTTTATCAAATGTCTTAAAAGGAAATAAGGAGCCAAGGCTATTTTTTTTTAATTTCTTTAAAAACCTCTCCTTCCCTGCTGCTCATTGTTATTGTCACAAACACACTCTCTAACCTTAAGGCTGGTCAGCAGAGAAAATCGAGACCATGTGGCCGTGACACTCATTCTGTCTCTCTTGTTCTCAGAAGGACGGTGCTCAAATTTCCTGATCTGAAATCTGGAAAGTATTACAGACAAACAGGAAAAATTCCAGCTGCAGTGGTTCTCATCTTTGAATCAAATCCAAATGTGGTTTAATGTTCAAACTTACAACTCTAACTAAAAGAATAAATGCCATATGAGTGTGTGGATTGTGTCCGTTTTAAAGGATTTGGAACAGCTGTAGATTAGTTCTAGCCAACAGATGCTGACCGTGATTTCCTCCCTATAAAAAGCAAACGCAAATTAAAATGAGGTTTATTTGAGAGAGTAATATAGAAAATTTGATACTGTAAAGATGGATTTTGGGTGGATTATCCTTTCAAAATAAATATATCCATAAAAATCTGTACATATTATATCTTTAATTAATTTCCTGAAATAAATGTAATGAAACAAGTCAATTGTCTACCAGCGCAGTATGATTTTTCAAACAATTCATAATTTTCAGGAATCATACTGCCTAATTTCAAAATAATGGTCTCTCTATTGGACTTATCACGTTCCCTGTTGCAGTGCAGACCTGATAATAAAAAGGGCTTCGGCACAGAGCGGATATATTAAACTGGCCAAAAGATCTTCTGTGTCGTTCTCAAACGTAGCTTGCTTTAGTTAAACTTAGGTCGTCTCTGTTGTCAATTCAAATGGTGCTCAGTTTCATTGCTGCCTATAATAACAGGAGAATAAGCTGGTCACATGATACGCTGAAAGGCTGTAACCATTCACTATGTGCAGAGCTAAAGTGAACGTCGCTATCTGACTGGTGCTGCAATGTTGCCTTGTTAATTCTATATAAACCAGATTGTTGAAATAAATGCTGAGTTCTGTGCTGTTTTTTTTTCTGTTTTCAGCAAGTGATCTTAAATCTCAGGACAAAGTTAGAAATTATGATGAAGAAGCATTGACAAGTCAGGTAAAGATCACAATGCCACGGCAATGGCTACACCACAGACTTGTGTTCTCTCCGATCATGTCGATTTTGTCTTTAATGGAGTCTTTTTGACACTTTCAGGGTATCAGTAAAATGATAAAATGTTTCATTTAACTGCCTAGAAATGAGCACAAAGGAAAAATTACTCTTTAATCATTTTTTAGCTTGTTATATATAAATTGTATTTCATATGGGTTCATCCATATTTATTATCTATTGTGTAAAGTGTCTTTTGGTGTCTTGAATGGTGCTCTACAGTGTAAATTAAAATAAATGGTTATAAATGGTTAGTTAAGAAATATATATGAATGGATACATTTATGTGTACATAATCATAAATGCAGCATCCCAGCATTGGGCATATCAGACATGCACGTTTTGCACAAACAAATAAATAATTTACAGTGGGAGAAGAAGATAATGGGAGACAGATGGTTCACAATAGGGTCAGAATTAAGTGGCACTCCACACCTGGTGCTAATCAGCCAATCAATGATAGAGAGAGGAACAGGTGTTTGTCTCCACTTATCATTGGGATGAGATTTGTCGAGCTTATTAAAGTTTATCATAATGATAGATTTTAACTATGTTGATACAGTTGATTCTGGAGAATTGCAGCTTTTCCTTTTCTATGGGATTTTTAGATATTTAACTGTGTCATATGAGTGCAGGTTGGTTATCGCTTCAGGGGTCCAAACTGGGTTGTCATAGCCTACAGGAGCTTACAACATGTAACATCTGCATTCACTTCTTTCTTTTTTTTCACATTATTTAACTTTTTAAGTGAACTTCTTATTCATCTTATCGTAATATTTTTTAAGCATCTAGATGTTTGCATTCCTGACGTCAAATTCATCTTTGTGCGCACCTGAGGAAAACGAGCCCAGTGCGTGCGTGTCTGTCCCTCTCTTTGTCTCGCGCTCTCTCCCGCTCCTCTCACCTATACACGCGAGCGCCTGTCTAAAAAGCTGCGTCAGAGTAAAAAAAAAAAAGACAGAATCAAACTGTCAGTGAGTACTTAGTGTGCCGAGTATAACAGCCATTGTGTTGCGGATAAGCCGGCGGAGGTAACGCTCCGCGGCACACAGGCTCGGAGACTGTTGGGCATGTCGCGCATGACCGCTTCATCACTGCCACCTTGATGATTTATTTCACCATGAGCGCGCCGAACAAATCATCAGAGAAAAGGTTAGTGCGTGTTTTTGGTCAATAAGTTACTGTTTTGTTGTTTGTTTATTCATGTTTCGCATAATATCTTTGCATTCTTTATAGTGTTCGCCTAGAGGCCAGTCTATAGATTGGGTGAGCCAAACTCGTGTATAGTATTTTTTGTCAGGTAACATTGGGCCTATAATTCACAAAAGTTATCTATCTTCGGGTTAAATAATAAATTAGCTTCGGCTACTTGTTTAGAAACTATTTTGGTAGTTCCGCACCAGAAACTGTCTGACTGACTGACTGACTTGACACCTCCATAAAACAGGCAGAGCTTGATGTGCTGAATCTAAGACAAACCAAATATTATGTGCCCAGAGGGTGTCAGTGTAGTTTAATGCAAAAAAGGCTGCAGCAATGGAAAAGGCTCTTTATTTTACAGCTGTGACTGTCAATAAGCGAAAACTCATAAATGCATGCATTTTTAATATATGGGTCTATATATTGTTGATGAATCATGGACCAATACGTATTGGCATCTCTGAATATTAATTTCCATGCGTAAACGTTTTTCCTTTGGACAGAATTGGCTCGAAAAATAAGCTGGAAAAGCTATTAAAGGAAAGAAAAGGCACCTTTCCACTTCTGACCAAGGTAAGAGGATAGCTTGTTATTCATGTGAATACTAAGACATTGATAGGCTTGTATTTGTTTTGTTTTTCTTGTCAGCCTGACTGCTTCAGTATATATTACCATAATTTATAGCGGTGGCCATGTTTTTCAGTGCCTCCAAGCAACCTTACACCCCGTGCAGGCTATTAAATAAATGTTATTTAGGTAATTGTGTGAACTCAGCAGAAGTGATTTATTAGGGAACATACCCTGCCTTGTGATGTTCTTTGCCTGCGACACTAAACCATCTGAGAGAGGTGCCCAGCTGTTACTTATTGCAAATGTTTGGAGAGCAAAACTACCCAACCCTGAGCCATTAAAAGGCCACATACTGTATCAGAGGTGTTCTGCGCTGACACCAGGACATCTCCTCTTCATGGAAAGTTCCACGATAAATACATATTCACGCTGCATTAGACCGATTCGCCCCCTCCCTTCCTGTGGGGAGGGATTAGAGTGTTTCAAAGCCCTCACTGAGCTCCTATAGGACACTTTTCTACTTACTGTTGATTGAACTTTGACAATAATTCTTCGCACTGCAGGGTAGGACTGGGCGATCAAAGAGAAAATTTAAATATCCGGTCAGAAATATGATGAATATTTATGACCCTACACCCAAATATCAATATTGCGACGACGTTGTAAGTTTGACTATTAGTGCTTTAACAAGATATTTACGCAATCAGATTTTTGATAAATAATCATCAGTAATGTGGATATAATGACTAAGTGGGTAAAGGCAAATTATAGAGCTAGAATAGTCAGGTAAATTTAGAAAATTGCATTACTTTACCGTAATGCAGCCTTTAAAACTGGGAAAAGACACTTGCGATGCTACTATGCTCAGCCATACTGCAGGGTGTGTTGGCCAAACTCTTTAATGCTTAATCCCATCATGGTCCTTTTATTTGCTTTGCTCTCAGCACTTTAAGGCCCCTCATGTAGATATTCTCATTAAGAAGATAAGAACGCTGAAAATCTGAGCTGCGTCAGAGGCGTCGTTTGAAGCTGTTTGGGTTTTATACTGTGAGTGGATTCCACGCACAGTGTGTCAGTTCAAAAGATTCTCTCTTTTTCAAAGTTAGGCTATCAATAGAGAGCATTTGCGTCATTACAAATAAAAACAGCAGATGCACTGTGCCCCTTCAAGATGTGAAATACCCCGAGACTGTAGCAGGCAAGCGTGTTTGTAGCTTTGACATGATATGACTCAGTACCTTCAGCATTTTAGCCTTCTGTTTATATAATAAAGAGCTTTCAGATCCTTCCAATAAAGTGGTACATCACATGACATATTTTTGGATGTACTTCCCCTCACTTATGCCAGATTTAACATTCTGTCCAGGGATTTTTGTATATGCTAACTTCAGAGTCCCTGAACCTTTTTTAATCTGATGATTATCAATTTCTCAATCAATATATTAATAGTTTTGGTCTGTAAAATGTTAGCAAAAAGTGGAAAATATATGTCACATTTTTCCAGAAACCATGGTGATGTCCTCAATAGTCCAAAGCTCTGAAGAGATTCAGTTTGCAATGATTTACAAACAGAGGAAAAACAGGTAATCGTCTCTATGGTGAAGCTGGAGACAGAGACTGGTTGCTTTTTGCTTTTAAAAAAATGACATGAAAAATGTATTGATAACCAAAATAGTTATAGATTAACTCTATGTCGATCGACTAATCTATATAAAAACAATGTCACCACACCATTTGTTGTGCTCTTCATGACCTGCTTCAGAGTATTAGAGCAGACCCGTGCACCTGGCCCAGCCTCCACCCCCACTGACTGAGGAATAGGGAGTGTGCCTCCCCATTATTCTGATGAACCCTGCCCCTGATTGGGTTTCTCATCACAGCTTTGTCCTTTGTTGACACCGGACCCCCTGAAATAAAAGTGGCCATTAAGAGAGAGAGCTCACCTCTGCAGATATCGGTGTCACCAAGCACATTATTATAGCCTATATAATGCTATCCTTTCTAATAGCCTCTCTGCTTATTTCTACTTCTGCATGTGTGTGCATAGAATTGTGCTGTCATGTGCGTAATTTAAGTCGAGTTCATCATTCTGCGTGTGAAACTTTCTCTGGGTTGTGGTCAGGGCCGTCACATGGCCAATGCTTCTCAACATGTGAATGCCCCGTAATAGTTGGCAGCATCCTCTCTGCTGTGGATGACTGTTATCCCTCCCACTGGTGGTGCACATAGGACTGTGGAAGCCTGGGCTGCGTTTGGCCGCATACTGCCCATGGCTGAGCCTCGTCTTTGCACTGCCGTGTCACAGCTGCATGCTTCCATGTTGAGGAGGTGCTCCAGAGAGGACAACTGGACTGAGACACTCCCCAAGTCTGATAAACATTAATTGGATTTTTAAAAGAATGCTGGGTAAACAGCCACCCTGGGAGTTTTGTTAATGAGTGCCTGGCTTGGTTGCACGAAGCGTCTGTTTTCCTTTAACGGTGAGTCATGCAATGCAGAGCAGCTGAACAGGGTATGCCAACGTCCTCCCCCGTCGCAATCTCTCCTTCCATCTCCTTAGGCTCAGGAGCATTGTTGTGTAATAACGTGTGAGGTCTTTTCTAAAGTATTGTTGTATAAGAGGATTGGTTGTTGTCACCTTGTTAGGCTCACTGATTCCATCATACATGAAAATAATATAACAATATTTAATAATGAAGTGAATTAAATAATGATTAAATATACTGCAGTTAATAAAACCGGATAATAAAACCGTTAGAGTCTAAGACGGGATCTCCTTTTCAAACTCTGTCCCTCCCTGGTGTTTTGATGACACTGTGTGGCACGGTATAGCCTCTTGTATTTGGCACCCAGAGACAACAAGCATTTCAATCCTCATTGTCCACATCGGCCAAACATGTCATCGGAATAATCCCTGCAATTTGCACTAATTGTTACAGTTTGAAGGCAGTGTATTGTCTGTGTCAGTCTAGCTCGGACACTGGGTCTTTTGTATCCAGGTGCCCGACAAAAGCGGATCGCCTTGCGATGTTGTTGTTGAAGGTGACAGGAGAGTCAGTGCTTATGGGGCCAAAAGAAGGGCGGACAATGCTCATCTTACCTGGGTGACAAAGCTCACCTTTGCCCATCACCCATGTAAGAGCAAGGAGACAGGCAAACGGTTTCAGAGGGCAGAGTGGTGGGATACAGGCAGTGTCTCTGTGTTTCTTGACCGGTTTTAGCAATTGCAAGAAGATTTGAAGAAAGTAAAAAAGACGGGGGGAAAATTCTTGGAAAGTTAAAAAAGGAAAAATTTGATATGGTGACTTGTGTCGCCTGGAGGCGGGCAACATCAGAGCCATTTGAGAACGAGGTGAGATGCCAATAGATGCCAGGCCATCATCACTCACACAGGCCTGGCTGCACGAGTGCGACTTCTCCATCTTCAGGTTCTCAGAGCTGGCAGGGCAGAGTCTGGGGCATCCAGGTCAACACCCGCACTGCACATGATAGGGGCTAAACGCCTGTAGTGTTGTAAGCATATTTACCACCGAAACCTCTGATACACACGTTATGATTGTGCAGGTAAACTAGCAGGCTTGAGAAATCTCACACACACATGCACTTGTCCAAGTTTTGCGCCACACCTGCCTCAGTTGTCTGGCAAGTGGGCCAACTTTTTTTATCTGATCGGCCTTATTGAAATAACAGTCAGGTTCTGAGGCACGAGCAGAGCCAGAGATGGGGCCCTGGGTCGGGTCTCCTTCCAAGGATGGAAAGCAGCCGATCTTAGATGACAGAGTGATTAATGAGGTAAGGGTTAGGCTTCCATAACTGAGCACTTTGGAGAGAAAGTCTGATTATGTTGACCTGAAAAGTATCGATGATGGTGTTTTAAGTAGAGGTTGTATTCGGAGCAGTTGAAGAAGCGTTCTGCCTGTTAATCTGTGTGAGTATTGATTTATTTAATATTAATGGGAGATGATGAGATGGCAAACATAGGAATATAGTTTTTATTCTGACAAATTTGAGGATGGAACTATAAATACAGTATGGCTGTGGTGATACCGCACTAGATAACAAGAAGATGTGGTCCTCAGTCATTGGGTGGTTTTAAAAGGATTCTATCAAGTTGGAGCACTGAATTAGGTTTGTCTGTATTTTAGATTAGCCTCAAAAGTGAGGGATTAATTTTTCAGACTCGCATTTGAGAAATGGGTTTTTTAATACCACCATGGCCCAACTACCTGCTAATCAAGGCCATGGAATGTGGCTTTTGGCCTAATTCTGGAAAAAATGTTAACAGTCTGGGTCTCTGACAAAAAGAAGACGGGAAGCTCTTGTATGTCTGTTTGAGTTCATTGCAGAACATGAAGGGAGGTTTCATGAAGCAGAAGAGGATTGTGTACTCTGTATGTAGGTGGACTCGACAAGCTGGCACAGTTGACACACATATGAAGTAGTAGGTCAACCTCCACCTCCATCAACCACCCCACACAATCGCACCTGCAAATACACAAAAGTGGTTATAAATTATGGGGAACGTTGGCTATGACAGTGTATGTGACAGAAACAATGTCATCGTAGGCAAAGGATCTCAATAAGAAGAACAAACAAACAAAAAATATCTCAATGAAACTAGTGCCGTGCCTGTTTGGAGCGGGCCGATTTCTTGGTACCGGGTATCGCTGCTTGCAGACAACCGCTTATCGCTCGTTGAGTCCAGGGAAGTGAAGAAGAGTGCGGTTGTAACGTAAGTATATCCAGCATCCAGCTGAAAAAAAGACGCATTCGCTTTTGTATTCAAAGTTAATAATATTGAATGTGTTGCATGTCCAAATTGCACCAAATTCCAGACTGCGCTCGCTTGGGTCCCCAGCAACACACGGTTCTCGAGAATTATACTGTGATAATGAATAATAATCTTATTGATCTGCAAATTTCTGTTTCATTTCCTTTATACTGTATATCATCCTATATAGTGCAGCACTACTTGGGTACGAGTAGCAATGGCTCAAAATTAC